ATGCTAATATTAGCATTTTTCTGCTGTTTCAGCTACAATTCTTCTTTTTTCTGTTATTCTGCAAATTTCTACATTTTTGAACTTCTTTTTTTGCTTTATTGCTTCTTACAGTTGCTTTCTGCTATATTCAGCTATTTGCTGCAATTTTATTTAATGTTCAGCTGATATTAGCTAAAGTTAGCTTTTTTAGGTTAAATTCACAATTTGTTGCTATTTCAGCTTCTTTTTGCTTCATTTAGCAAATGTGTGCTCCACCTGCTTCTTTATGGTAATTTAAGAATTTCAAGCTAAATTTTTAGCTGTTGTACTGCAAATTTTGGCTGTTTGAGCTATTTTACAAGAAACAGTCACTTTTCTGTACTTTTATGCTTTCTTTGTCATTTTTAAAACCCCTTTCACCATCTGGGTGCTAATTTTAACGTTAACCTTTTTCTGATTTTTCAGCTATTATTCTGCTCCTTTCTTCTATTTTTTTTGCTAGTTTCTGCTTTGTTGTACTTCCTTCAACTTATCAAATGGAACTGACATTCACAGTTTTGCTAAAAAACAYTTTCAGCTCCATTTCGGCAGCTTTCAGCTAAAGTTTTCAGCAATAAGCAMCCACACTAGCATTTTCAYAGGAAATGCTATTTCTCTARTTATGAATAGCAATTAAAGCTKAACATCCAAAGGTRTGAATTTTATTTTATAGGCACTTTATACTTTTAATGATGAAAGTTTCATTAAATCTGTCCAGGGATTTATGAGATATTTTGCTAACAGACAGAAAAAGCAGCCAATGGGATTTGTATCAAGACAAGTAAATGGTAAATAGCCTGAACCTGAATAGACTCCAAAGCACTTTMCACTACAGTCATTCACACATTCACAAACTGATGGTGATGAGCTTGTAGCCACAGCTGCCCAAGTTTACAGTCATGTGGATCCTCTTTATCGTAAAACAAAAAGGCACAAGAAAAAGGAACCACATTATGGAGAACAAGGAGCAATATGAAAAGGTTAAATTCCTCGACAGAAAATGAGCTGAACGTACTCAACGTTCCTCTGAATCTAATGTTTCTGGTGTGACGTTTAGACTGAACCAAGCTGAGGGGACAGATGGGGCGACGGTTCCTCTCCACACTCACCAGGTTTTCGGGGCTGTGCAGCTCGTGCGTGGTCGAGGCGCAGCGAGTGATGAGAGACTTGAACATGCAGCCCACCACCACCGCCTCCATGTTCTGAGCCAGAGACTTGTTGTCCCCCGTGGCGAAGTTGTTGCCAAAGCCCGCCTTGTCTGGAAGCAGCAGGGGAGGCAGGAGAGACCACGGATGACACAGGAGGTAGTTTAGTCATCATGGGGGGGAATGGGTGGGGTGGTAGGTCACTGACAGCTGACCAGCTTGAGTTGTAAGCCCGTACAACAGCAAGGGGCAAAGGAAAGGTGTTCATAAAGCATATGGGGGAAGAAGCAAACTCAAAAGGATTCTGGGATTAAGGATTACATGCAAGTGACTAAGGCCTGCTTTAGATAACACAGAATAGAGCCCTGATTTTTTTGGTCCAGTTAGATCAAAATTGCAAAAATGAAGAGCTACAGAAAAGTCAAATTCAACCAAACAGGTATAAATTTAGGAGTTGCAGGCGAGTTTGTCACTTTCGRACAGAGTGAGGGGGTGCAGCAATGAAAGCGGTGCCTAGGGAAGGGTCTGATCRGGTGAGTATATTCATCTTAGAGCTTAGAGTATTAACTGGTATTAGTTATTGATCATGTGTATCTACCGATGTTTCTTTTTTTCGCCCTCCTGGACCTCTCACCTGCACTGCCGTACTCTGCAAGAGAAAAGAGGCGGGGCACAAGTTGATTGACATCAGGCCAGCACACACATGTAGGTGGTCTCAGAAAGGACATGGCACCCCACCTCCGCAAGGAGGTGAACCCCCAGACACACAAACAAACAAACAAACAAACAAACAAACAAACAAACAAACAAAAGAAACACAAACGCTAAAAAAAAAACAACACATCAAAAACTGAGAGGTGCCCTGTTCACTTTCATCAATAAAAACACTCATCAGTTCAGCAACTTGCCAAATGCAGTATTTTGTATGACATGATGTACAAAATACTTCCAGAGCAAAACTGAAATTGGCTTGATGCGTCTCGATGCTCTGAGATAAAAAATCATCTGAGCAGCGATGTAATGAGTACAGCTTCAGATTGGCAAGTTTACAGAATAGATGAGCGAGTAAAAAATAAAAGCAAGGATTAACTTATCGATGTGGATAAAGGAAAAGGAGGATGGAAGCAGGAGGAAGATGACAAAAACGGGACACAAACAAGCAAACAAGTGGAAGGAGGAAAGGGAATATATTTATATATACACTCTGTTATATATATATA